CGACACAAACCGCATTATTTAGGGACTACCATAACACAATTCGCTTGCCCGTAGCGTTCTTAAACAGTGGGAATAAATAGGAATACCCGGAGAAAACCGAAGAGGTTGGGCAGGCTACCCTATACTCCTCGTCACTTTCCAACTTGACATGGTCACTTGACGCAATGGCAGATCTCATGACCTAAAGCGAACGCATTAGACCACTCGATCGCCAAGGTGTATATACAATATATTACAAAAGCTGAGGAAACTTTTTAATTACTTAAGGAGTGCTTTTGAAAGTGTGGACGTTCTTCAACCGGTACATGGGGCAAGGTGGCTCAGTGATAAGATGCGGGTTTACTAATTAGGATGTCACAGGTTCGATCCCGGTATTGATCGAGAAAGCTCCTCGGATTTTCCGGCGTATCTTCTAACTGTCAATGTCCCTTGAAAATCCAGAGGAACTTTCTTAGCTAACACTGAGAGCATATCCCCATCTTATACGACACCGATCACGGCCCATCACTAATTCAAGCTATAGTTCCAGATTTCGCAAGCCGAAGTTACTCGGTTCGGATAATCTGACACGAATCAAAATGCCACAAAGATTACAAAGTTAGCGATGTAGAAAATCACCCGATGTTTTGTCTGGCAGTAAACCTAATGTAATAAACCAAATGATCAAAGAAAACATTGCATTCGGATGATTTAACAACAGAGAATCTTCCTCTGTCTCATCAATGTAAATTATTCCTAAAACCGGATTATTGTTTCATTCTAGTAACACATTGTTTTATGTAATTAAATAGTGATAGATTCTTCTGTTATGAAATAACACTGTCTGGTTTACCTGTTAGATTGTTATATAATGTAGGCCTAATTTAATACAGAACTGAGAGACATCTAGAAAGGAGATATGAAGTGTAAACAGGTTATTGCTGTCACCAGTTTTTAAACACAGGTCATGACATTTTTTTCTTGTGCACTGAATTTCTTAATTAAATAATCAAGGGTATTTCAACTTTTAAAACTGTATTAAAGATACATTCTTTTGAATTTTGTGCTAGACAAAGGCCCTTGACGCATTTTACCAGCCACTTTCTGACCTATTTATGGTTATCAATGGAGATTTTTTTAGATTTGAAATATAATTTAGTTTCGCCGAACACGGGATTGTACAGTCGGGAACTGTGGTGACTCGATGAGTAAAGTACGAAAGCCCAGAAGGCTCATTCCAAATTCCAAATGCGAAATTCCAAATTCCAAATGCGAAATTCTAAACTCATGTCTTACCAATCAAATGAATCAAATAGCAAATTGGCGGTCCCCCCCCCCCCCTCAATTAAACAAATTAAATTTAAATAAATTTTACACAACTAATTAGTGCTAGTTTACCTATCTGATGCCTGGGCCGGATAAACACCCGTTCCAAATTATTAGATTTGAAATTGCAAATTCCAAATACGAAATTGCAAATTCCAAATTCGACATAATCACGTGACATTACAATCATCATGGCTGATGCAGAGAAGATAATACGCCCACAACAGCTAAACCGTCCGGACAGTCAACAAGAGTTGTCGCATATTTTTACTTTTTGCGGTAATGAAACATTTATAATACACTAAAATCTGATTAAGAGTAACAACTCGTTAAGTAATTATCAGAAAATCATTAGAATTTGTTTGATTTTTATAAAGTTCTGCCCCATGCAAGTATACGAAACATTTGATATCATGGATTTAGCTGTTCAAGTTATCAAAATTCAATGAAAATCAATATACTTGTTCGTCTCATGACCTTAAACTCTGTGTATCAATCGGGTATTCACTTTAACCTTCAGAGCGTCCATAAGATTTTTTGAAGTGATCAAGGGCCATAACTCTGGCAGTAATTATCGGAAATCGCTGAAAATCAATAGGATTCTTCATCTAATGACCCTACACTGTTTAAAAACACGGTGTATAAATTTAAAATCAATCGAATATTATCTGTAGCCTCTAGAGCATCCATAAGATATTTTGATGTGATCAAGGGCCATAATTCCGGTAGTAATAATCGGAAATCGCTGAAAATCAATAGCCTTCTCTATTCATGATCTTAAACACTGTATAAATTTAAAATCAATCGGATATTAACTTTAGCCTCTAGAGCGTCCACAAGCAATCGTGGACGCCGGACAGACGGGCGGACGGACGGACGGATGGACGGACGGGGGCAACGATAATATACGACCACATTATACGATCGCATTTGGAACTTGGAATTTGGAATTTCGCATTTGGAATTTGGAATTTGGAATTTTGCATTGGGAATTTGAAATTTCGCAATTGGAAAGTGGAAAGAGTCTTCCGGGCTTTCGTATAGGTAAACTAGCACCAATTAGTTGTGTAAAATTACAATTTATTTAAATTCTAATTTGTTTAATTGAGGGGAGATGCTAATTTGCTATTTTATTGGTAAAACATGAATTTGGAATTTGGAATTTGGAATGAACCTTCTGGGCTTTCGTAGTAAAGCGATGGCTTCCTAACCAGGAGGTCTCCCAACCGAACTCGGCTCGCCTAGAGCGGTTACTGCTGGCAACGTTACAGCGCTTCCCCCTAAGAATTGTAATAGGTATCTGGTTTCTAAACGTGCATCTCTCTATATCCAGAAATGAGTTACTAAATATTAATTACTTGGGTGGTTAACTTGATGCCAGAAATATGCATGGTATTCATGCCTAATTTGGAGATTCTAATTTCCTGTGTAAACAAGATAATATATTTCCATGCATATTTGTAAAACTAGCTCTTATATACATCATGTTTAGCAAATCATTTATTTCAAAGCACAATTTATTACGTTATCAGTTTGGTATTCATGTGGGGAAACGGTGTGCTTTTGATAAACAAAATGAAATGACAGAGCTTGCCAGTCACCGTATTTTGTTAATCAATGGGTCATACATAACTACATGTATATCATCTATTTTACGAGTTAGAAACCAATATTATTCCAGGGCCTCACTCATTTGGCCCTTAAAGTATTTTTTCTGTTAGAGGACAAACAGATATATATCTAAGATCCAAGGTACAAGAGATTTAATCACATTCAAAGGAAATCGCGACAGCAGCAGCATCTGGAATCTGCGTGGCCATATTAATCCTCCCATTCAAAAAACAAATTGTGAAAATTTGAGCTCTTACAATTTAAGTTGATGACACAGAGAACAAACAGGAGGTTACCTAAATAGAATGTAATCTGATTGCGGATGTAATTCTTTTCTAAAATTACTTGGTTCTACCTGACAAACCATCATCCTGGACCCTGTTTTAAAACACCTGTTAAACCACACTGCTAAAAAAACCAATCGCACAACGAGTTATTGAAATAGAGATACACACCATGTTTGTCCTGAAATGACCTAGTTTGTGTCATGATTTGGACTTAATAATGTATAAAATATTAATAAACCTAAGCAAACATTATTATGTTTGACTAAATTCATTTGTTTTAAAGCAAACCATATCAAATAGTCTATATTCAATTTACACCCCCCCTCTCTCTCTCTCTCTCGTCGTGAATACTGATGAATTTAAATACATGTATATCAAAGAAAATACATAATTATATTATATGTCTTATTTAGATTACTTTAAGGGGGAAAAAGAAGGAAAAGAAAAAAATAATAATAAAAAAATAAATAAAAAATACACTGGAAAATGAAAAAAAACTATAACTAGTAAAGAAGTTTTCTGTAAAATTAGAAACTACGGTACTTATGTTCTGAGACTTTTTTTTATATTTAATTAACAGAATACCACTTAAATCCACTACTTATCTTTTGAGATATTTTTTCATTTAATTAACAGAATACTACTTAAATCCACTATTGTGCAATAGTTTCTAGGTTAAGACATCGTTAAAGAACAACAAGTATGGTATACTTGAAGTTAAAATGTCTGGAAATGCCTTAACTTCCAGATAAACCGTTCGGTGCTGGCACACATTAATTGTATTTGTTGTTCTTTAACGATAGAAGAATTAAGATTGACCTCAGAGGATTTCAAGATATAATATTATTATGTCTTGAAATCCCCTGAGATCAGTCTTAATTCTTCTATTGTTTAAGTTTGAGGTCAGGTAGCTTTTTGGGGGATAAATAGAAATATAGCGAATCGGTTACTGTAGTGAAATGTTTTGACCAAATCATCGCTCCCCAATGAATAATACAGGTGTTTAGTTGACAGTGTTTGAAAACAAATGAAAAAAAATCAAACTATAAAATTCTTTTAATTTGAATTAACCATCCCTTTTAAATAAAATTGTATCTGATCATTCCTTTAAAATATACTTTAATCTAATCATACAATTTGGTCATATAGTTTCTTTAAAATATAATATGATCTACACATTCCGTTAAAACTGATATTATATTTCCTTTAAAATATAATTTGATCAAATCATTCCTTTAACAATTCCATTAACCATTTACATAAAAAGGACTTCTGGAAAGACCTGTGTTTAGGTTGAAATTGCAATTTAACGCAGATGTCTCTACGATAACATTTTTATCCACTAAGTTGAGAATTATCCGTAATATTTTACTTATTGGTTACTGATTAATGTATATTTTCATTTTTGAAAGTTAAGGTATGCCTGTTGTTTCTTCCAGTTTTGTTTTGTCCAATTAGAATCCAAAGCCAGGCGAGCGGCTGCATAATTGCAAACAAAATAAACACCCCCCCCCACCCGCAAAAAAAAACCATCCCAAAAAAACAAACCGAAGATGTCTCTGCGATAATCTTTACATATCAATTGAATTTTATGAAAAGACTTTCTTTAATAATATTTTCAAATCGAGTGAGTTGTATGTAGTATTTGGTTATTGGTTAATGGTTAATATCATTTCGTATCGTTCTTAGAATTCCACTTAAGAGTGCAAAGCTACGTGAGCTTTGTTATTACAGACCAATATCACTCTCCCTCCTAGGGTATATATATATATATATATGTATGTTTTTCATTTTCAGGCGAGAGCTTGTCATCACCAGAAACAATACCAGCTGAGAAGATATTAATAAAGAAATTATTGGCACGTTATGAATCCCAGGGTAAAACAGGTCGCCCTATAGTCAATGTTAAAGATCATATGACAGTCAATTTCAGTTTATCATTAATACAAGTTTTAGATATAGATGAACAGAATCAAGTTTTAAAAACAAATATATGGTACCAATATGTAAGTATTTTGTTTCTTTGTCATATGTCGCTTAATCCAGTTAATTTTTTAGAGAAAATTAACTAAAATTTTAAATGTCCGAATCCAATTCAAACGATAAAATCGTCAAAGAAATCGTCACAGGACACAATTCTACTAAATACTACCATACCAAATACCGCAAGATATGCTACCTCATTATTGTGAAAAATTAACAGAATGGTTGAATTATGCAAAAATCAAAATTGAATTAATTAGCTAAATACATATTGTAATGGCGGATCTAAAGATTGCACACCGCCCTCCAAAAATATATTATGTATTAAAATCACTTCAAGTTATACGGTATTAAATCTGGTTATAAAACATCCATTTAAGGGTAGTTCTGAGTATTTTCTTAGCTGAAATATTTCTGATTTGACCTCTTCCAAACAAGTATATTTTTTTATGCATGGAAATGTCATTAATTCTACACGGTCAGATAAAATCCCTCCAGTAACTATAGGATTGTAATTTCATTAAATATACGATTTTGGAATATATCGAATGTTATTGCAATACATCTGCAGGTTAAGATATATTGAGTATTTTCTTATCTGGAATATTTCTGATGTGCCAAGGACAATGGAGGATTTTTTTTCATGGAATTGTCATTAAATTCTACATGGTCTGATAAAATGCTTCACGACCGCCTTCAATAACTATCCCATTTTTACCTCTGTATGTATTAAAAATATCAGATGTTATTGTTTAAGGTATAGTTTTGAGTATTTTCTTGGCTGGAATATTTCTGATGTACCAAGGACAATGGCGGATTTTTTTTCATGGAAATGTCATTAAATTCTACATGGTCTGATAAAATCGTTCACGACCCCCTTCAATAACTACACCATTTTAATCTCAATAAATATACGTTATGATTAGCAGCTACATGCCGAGTAAATACTATTAGTAAACATTAAATATTGGAAATTTTCGTGAACACTGAATATATTTTTTTATTATCTTGTCCATTTTCGATACCAACACAAGAGTGAATGAATCGTAGATCGTTTTCAGCAAAATGGCGCCGAAACCTAGATTGATAAGGTAGTTCCTTATTATTGACTTTATGTAAGAAAACCCGTAACGCAAACATAGACTGACATCCTTTTAAATCATGGAGAATGTAAACGTAAAAGCTCCAGCATAAAGTTGATTCTATTAAGCTATATGTATTTCCCGTTTATTGAATTTTAGTGGCACCGAGGGCACATGTGGAAACCACAAACCGTAATAGTAGAATATGTTTTCATTTTACATTAATTTGTAGAACTGGTGGGGACAGAATAGTTGGTTAGATACTAGAGTTTGTGGTTTGGGGTATGGGGGTATTTGTAAAAGCAAGGTCTCATTGATGTTTTTTTTTTATCTGCAGCCGAATGTAACATTTAATTCCATCAGCTACACCCTAACTATACTACAACCAACTAAAAGCCCAGATTTACACGTTTAATAGAAATAGAATAATAAATGAAAAATTTTATACCTTTATCCATGGCACCGGATCTTCCGTTCTCCATATTCAACATAAACTTAAAATTCGCCTAATTAGTGAAAATCCTAGCACTAAGCTACTTAGACCACATAGCACATGGTAATGAAAGGATATCTTATAAACATTTTATTCTATTACAATATAACGTTATATTTTAGGTATGAAATGAAATGAAATGAAATGAAATGAAATGGGGTTTAACGTCCTACTGTTCTGCTCCTAACCTGGGCTAATGAAGACGGGCATACGCCATACAGTGTGCTATGAGGGAAATTTTGCCCGGACAGCGGCACTACGGCCTACTCTTATATCGAATTCCAACTGCCAAGGGATCTTTTACGTGCACGCCAATGTGTACACGGGACCTCGGTTTTTTGTTCCATCCGAACGACTAGACAGCTTTCCTTGTCAGCCCCTCCGTCCTGCATCACTGACAAGTGAGAACCACGCCGGAAAATCTGGATGAACTTTCTCGGCCAATGCAGGGATCGAACACCCGACCTCCAGGCTAGCGAGCTAGCGTCTTACCCACTTAGCCACGTGATCCCCATTTTAGGTATGGAAAGACATCTTATTAACATGAGGTCCTATAGAACATGATATTTGAGGGTTGGAAAGACATATTATTTATAAATAGGACCCCACAGAACATGATAATATAACTTGATATTATTAAAGATGGGATTCCATGGAACATTGTATGAAACGAAATGAAATGGGATTTAACATCCTACTGTTCTGCTCCGACTGGGCTAATGAAGACGGGTATTGTATAAAACACTTCTTTATATTTTAGGTATGGAAAGACATATTATTGACATGGGATCCTATGGAACATGATAATATAACCAGTGTACGCGTTCCATCTGATAATATCTGGTTACCTGATATACTACTGTATAACTTGTAAGTTTTAAACCTTATTTTTGTATAAGACCATCAAAGTCATCGTGCCCGCCCAAAAGTCAACAATTGGCTGTTAAAGCGATAGAGGCTAGAGTTTTGGTGTGATGATTGCAGACCTTGAGAGGATGATTCCCATCTGCTTTCAGCGTTCTACGACATTTTGTTCCAGAGTTGTTCCCATTTTCATAGCGACAAGAAGATTTCTAGTTTAGGCGATAGAAGTTACTGCAGTTTTAGAAAATTTTTGTTTAAACTTGGTATTCAGAATAGGAACCATGAGTGGATTTCCTCCGATTTCCGTTTTAGAGTTACTGCGCTTGTCATTCTGACATCGCAATTTATCATTAGCACGATAAAGGCTAGAATGTTTGACGGATGACTTTCAAATCAAATTTGGTGTGAAGCATTGGGATCGTGTGACGACGAACCCGAACGATTTCCAGCGTTCCACTACACGTCGTTGCTGAGTTATCTCCCCTTTCTGAAAACATTGTTAACGCGGCAATTACAATTGATTTTTTTTTCAAATTTGGTATGAGGCATTGGGGCTATGAGAGGACGAATCCTATCGATATTCAGCGTTAAGCGATATTCTGATCCGCTCCCAATTTGTTTTGACATTTATACTCATCAGTACTTATAAGTAATTATTTGATTAGTATATTCAATTTCTGTTATCACCTTAGCTGAATAAAACATATTGCTTTGATTTTCAAAGATATCCCATATCTGGATTTTAAAATCAGCACAATAATGTTCACGTTTTCAGTATTCTTGTTCTATTGATCCTATACTCAGTGACATTAATAATTAAATTAATTTTTATAGATTATATCCTTTATAATGAAATTAATATTCGTAATAAAATTGATGCTGAACATATATTATTATTCCGTCAATAATGGGCCCTGGTTGTTAAAAACCATTCCTTACATTTGATTATTTCGTATATTCTATGACAACATGGTTGCTGCTGAAATTTACTATGAATCGATGCCTCTCCAAGATTCTATTTTAATATTTTTTCAACATATTGTTAATCTATGTAACTTTTATTTCTGCTTACTTCATTTGGGGGGGTTAGATGGTCTAGTGGCGAGGTTTCGATTTCCCGCTTGTTCAACCTCGTGGGTATCCTCTGGGTCCCCCCGGTTTCCTACCACTGCTTAAGACCACTACGGATTATTGAAATAAAATTAAACCATATGTTATTCCCGAAATGACCTAGTTTGTGTCGAGTGGACATTAAGCCCCATTTCTCCCTCTCTTACTCCATCTTCTTCGAATCCCATCAGTTAAAGTATCTTTTGCGTGCACTGACAATGAGTCCGTGGGCTAATAAAGTATTCCTTTAGATGTCGCGGATACAAAAGTTACACCTTATCCGAGCTTATCTTTGCCTCCATTTATAATTCTTTCAGTGCTGATGACCGATTAAAAGAACAAAGGGACGCATTAGTAGTAGTGGAATACACTGGAGATTTATTATGGATGCCACAAGCCATCTTAAACAGTTCTTGTTCATTCGATACGCTCTACTTTCCATTTGATGAACAAAGCTGTGAACTTAAATTTGGATCATGGACTTACAGTGGGGATCAGTTAAATGTTGAATTTCTTGTTGGACAAGACAAAATGGATTTACATGATTATATGGCCAGTAACGAATGGGACCTGATTTCTAACACTGGTAGAAGAAATGTGAAATATTATTCCTGCTGTCCAGAACCGTATCCCGATCTTACGTTCCGTCTCAGCTTCCGTCGACGAGTAGCGTTCTATACGTTTATACTGATATTACCATGTGGGTTGTTATCATTATTAACGTTAGTTATATTTTGGGTTCCTCCTGAATCACCTGCTAAACTTCAACTGGGTAAGTTGATTTAATTTTATAAAATATACATTATAGACGTGTAATTTACTTATTTATTACCAATATTCAAAAATGGAAAAACATAAAAAAAATTACATTTACAAAGATTTCAGAATGTGTAAAGTTGTTAAAATGTTTTAAACTGCTTTAAAAAGTACGGTGATAAAGTTGATTTATTTATTTATACATTCTCAATCCAACCACCCCCCACCACCAAAAAGCTTCCCCACCCCAACACCCCCACCACCCAAAAAAAGCAATTAAAAACAAACCAAACAGCCATCCACCTAAAATAATAAAAAAAATCCTTAAGCTCATGACTCATGTAGGAAATCCTACAGGGTTCATTACCCGAAACATTTGTTTTATTAAGTCTTGTTAATAACTTAATTCAAATACATATACTATTCAAAAAAAGTAGGGGATATTTGATTTTTAAGTGTTATTAAAGTCACCTAATGAAACTGACGAAGAAACAAATGACAAAATGAAATGAAGTTCACATTCATCGATTTATTCCAAATGATCGTTAGACTAAGTAAGGCACAGACTGACCATTATAAGGGTAAAATGATACCCGGGGTCAAACAGCAAAGTTACCACAGCATCACAACCAAGTCAGTAACGGGTAAATCCTCCTCTGTTTGCCAAACAAGCATTGATCCGACGTGGCATACTCCTAATGAGACGTCTAAGGTCATTTTGGTCCAGATTGTCCCATTCCTGTTGCAACGCAGCAGCAAGTTCTTGGACATTGGCAGGACGTTGTTGACGTTGACGTAACCTCTGTCCAAGCATGTCCCAGACATGCCCGATGGGGGAGAGGTCGGGACTCAGTGCTGGCCAAGGTAATGTGGTGATGTTCTGTTGTTGGAGGTAACCTGTAACGATCCTGGCCCTGTGACATCTTGCGTTGTCATCCTGGAAGATGAAACGGCGGCCATGACGTCGTGCGAACGGCACAACATGGACTGCCAAGATGTTGTCCCGGTAGTACTGGCCTGTAACACGCCCTGCAACAACATGTAAAGCCGTTCTTCCAGCAACAGTGATGCCTCCCCACACCATAACAGAACCACCCCCAAATCGATCATGTCTGATGACGTTAACGTCTTGGAAGCGCTCGTTTCGTCGACGCCACACCCTCCTACGTCTGTCCAAAAAATCAACAGTGAACCTTGACTCATCTGAAAACATCACATTGCTCCAGCGTCGATTATCCCAGTGTTGACGATCCCTACACCAACGACGTCTTGCCTGAATGTGATGATCTCTCAAACAAGGGATCACGCGAGGACGTCGGGCGCGAAGGTGACCACTATGCAGTCGATTCCGAATCGTCTGGCCACTCACTCTCACACCAGTGTCTGTTTGAAGACGAGCGCTGATCTGATTTGCTGTGATGACACGATTTCTCAAGGCCAAGGTACGGATAAATCGATCCTGGGCTTGAGTTGTCGCCCTTGGTCGACCTGAGCGTGGTCTGTCCTGTACAGATTGTGTATCACGGTATCTGGACCATAGCCTGCTTATGACAGACTGAGAAACATTCATCGTCCGCGCCACAACCGCCTGTGTTGTGCCGATCTGTAGCATGCCAAGGGCACGTAACCTTTCATTTTGGGTAAGCCGACGCATATCAAAATTTGTTTTCTGGTCACTAAAACAATTAAACTGATGTTCCACCCTGGAATTCAATGCCACAATGACTGTAACATTCAAAGTCAGAGTCGTGCAAATCTTGGGTTGGACCCCCATGATGATCCCAAGCATCACCTGCATTCCATGCGGTAGCTATTGGTGCGTTTGGGCGTCACATGTAACTGGAAATGTTTCTTCTGTTAGGTTCTATAGTGACTTTTTTCGTAGTCATTTGCATATTTTAGTATTATGCCCCCAAAATCAAATATCCCCTACTTTTTTTGAATAGTATATATACAAAATATATCTCTTTATTTTTCAACAGGTATGAATATATTTCTTGCTTTCTTTGTACTGTTACTCTTACTAGCTGATTACACACCAAAAGCGGCCACGTCCATACCATTGATAGGTGAGTACTTTTTATATCTGAATAAGAAAATTTTAAAAAGGCCATAGCACCGGTCCTTGACATACAGCTCACGAAAATTGAAAATAAACGGAAAGAAACCTTAGGCAAAACAGTTTAAATTTTAGTTCTTCGCGTTCTTGATCAATAAAAACCCCACCCAATTCTTGTGTGAGATGTTTTGTTAAAATTTCAAAACCTAAATATTTGGAACTAAAGGCTTTTAAGAAGACCCCCCCCCCAAAAAAAAAAAACAAAAAAAAACACCCCCCAAAAAACAAAAACAAACAACCTTTTTGTTTTAAATTATTTTTCCCCGAGGAAAAGGGAGGGATAATTTTTAATAAGTGTTCCCGAAAAACAGAAATTCAGATTGGCAGGGCCCAAAATTTATCTTTAATAAGAAAATTTGCCGGTTCATACCAATCTGATTCCGATTTAGTTTTAGGTTTTGCGCCTATATTGGATACACTTACACAAATACGTTAATTTGTTCCCTTGACTGACCATTATCTGATTAACTCCAAATTGCCATCGACCTTGTTATATATTATTCGTATGTATGCACGTGTTAAATTTGACATGTTATCCGAACAGACCACAGATTTTCTATTATCTACATTATACATTTCATTCTCAGGGGTTCTAGAAGTGTTAAGTTTGACCTTGCAGTTATACAAGTGCATATTAAATGTGTTCAACTAATGGAATAAATGACATTAATTTTTCCAATTAGTAATAATGCCGGCTAATCACGACATCTCGTAACTATAATTGTAATATGGCGGACGGTAGAACTTTCCAACCATTTCGCAGTAGTACATTAGTTTTTTAACGTCTGCTTCCACAAAAGAGATATCGCAGACAAAACCTAGAAGAGCCGAAGCTTCCTATATGGTTTTATTTTGTATAATATGATTTTACAATCTTTACAATTGCGGCCTCTGACCACGGCTTGGTTTAGTGTGATAAATTCTTCCCTTTATTAACACAAAACATAGCGTTTGTTAGTGGATCATTAGATATACACTTGTTATATACATGTTAAATCTAGACATGTGCACAGTGGACATAGATATCTTTACATCAACACGATGTCTAAATATTCAAATATATATATTTATGTGACAAAAAGAAAAAAAGAACAGATTGAAATGTATTTCGTCTAGATCTCAACAAAATATATTTTGCACACTAAAATTTCGTGACATTTTCAACGTTCTCATAATTTTTATAAAATCTAACATTTTATTTTAACAAAAAAGAAAACGTATACAGATAGTGATTTATCTAAAAGATTTACTCGATATGTAAAGCAATTCTTTTTTATGTATGAAGAAAAAAACGTATTTAGAAATAAATTTAGAATTATTTTTCTGACATTTTCAATTTGTATAAAATCTAACATTTTTTTAAAAAAAATGAAATACATGTACAGATCTTGATTTATCTAAAAGATTTACGCGATATATTCAGCATTTCTTTTTAATTGTAAAAAAAAAAAAAAAAAATGAAAAAGAAAAGAAAACGTTCCTCGTACGTGTATAGAAATAAATTGCATACGCTTACTATTATGAGCAGAATTATCTTTCTGACATTTTTACTAGGTATATTGGATTAGATCTATACTGCCACAAAGTTAATTTGATCTGATTATTTATGTGCAGAGAAACCAGCTATCTCTACACAGGTTCATAATGTTTCGAGTTAATCAGGTTTTGTAGTCAGAAAGGTGCCGTTAAGATGATTCGTTACATAAAGTTTTGTCAGGGACGAATCAGTCTGTCTTCTATGAATACATAAACGTACATCAATGTTCTATAACAAATTATGATAAATGATAAAGATTGGTAAACATTATATAGATTAAAACCTGAACCAGTTATCATCATTTATCTTCTGGATTAGATGTAATATCAGAATTGCGTACAGAATTAAGTTTTGATGGGTTGGTTTTTCTTAAGCCTTCTATACTGCAGTGATTAAGCACTTCATTTGTAACGTATCGTTTTGATCAATAAAAGTTTCATGTATTCCACATCGTTTCAAATAAGATTAAATTTAATGTTGTTTCGTGCTTTACATCCACCCGAGATTAACGGATGAGACGAAACAGATTGTTCAACAACCCACTAAATATTATACATTGCTAGACTTCTGATAGTGGGTGAAGATCATAAAGCGATTGTCTCATTGGCTAGTGCGTGTTCTGAAATGAAATGAAATAGGGTTTAACGTTTTACTTTTCTGCACCGAATGGGTTATTGAAGACGGGCGCTACGTCCCACCTGTCAAAGGTTGTTTTACGTGCAGACCAACGTGTACACATGACCTCGGGTTTTCGTCCCACCTGAGCGACTATATGCTGTCCTTGCCAGGCCACCCAAACTGCACTGCTAACAAAGGGAAACCACGATGGAAAATTCCGGGAACTTTCTTTCTCGGCCGAAAGCGGAATGGAATCCCGGCAATACTATTTACCGGAAAACACCGGAAAACTACCGGAAAACACCGGTTGTTTTCCGGTATATCGTATAGCCCATGGAATCCCGACCTCCTGGTTAGTGAGCCAGGCCTTACTCACTGAGACAAAACGTAAATCTGTTTGAATTACTTTGTTTCAGGTTCATATTTTTGTTTAAGTATGGTGATGATCACTATGTCTACAGTATTAGCTTGTATTATAGCTAATATGTTTTTTCGGGGTGTCAGAGTGAACAGAGCTCCTGATTGGTTACGTTCAGTAAGTGTGGTTTAAATTATATATTACCCATAGCCTTTCTCGACACGCGTTTTCGATGTAATTTTGGTGACATCATGTACAACAGTATTATTATTATGGACCAGGAACCAAGCATGACGTCATCGCCACCGCCACCTTTGCCTTTTTTTTCTAAGAGAGTCGCCTCCAAGAATAAAAAGAAGATTAGCGTTTGGATTACAGTTCCTTATCCAAACAAATTCAAGGGTATTAATTATGGAACAATTAATCTAAGCACTCCTTTTTTCTCCTAAAAAATATCAGAAATATTTGTTATCTTATCCTATAGTCGAGAAATGGCCAATTAATGTTTTTAAATGTTAGTAATGTTATGTACATCGGGTTGAGATTTTTAAATGTAAATTGGTATAACCGAAAAATTAATTTTCTTTTGTAATTTGTGCCATCTGATATGTCATTTAATTTATCATTTTTATAAACTAATCGTAATATTTTTACAGAAACGAATGCTATGCCTTTTCGATAAAAACATTTTATCGGGAAATATTGCTCCAATTGTGTAGAAATGAAACCCATCATCACTGCATTGCACTTCCAGTTACATTAAATATTTTTTTTATTCTTTAATGTTCAGGAGGAACTTACACAAAGTATTTAATATCATTACTTGGGCTACATAAAACTGTGATTAAATTCACACTGGTTATTTATTTGAACGTTGAATGTTGGTTTTATGCGACTGTATACATCCATGGCATTTTAAACAGTTTCGGTGAAAAATGTATTACGGTTCTCCTGTGTTTTTAATGTTTGGTTAATTCAACTGGCATTAAAACGATGCATTAGCCAGAAGTTAACATGTAATTTATAACGAAACCGAAAGACTATTGGAAGTTGATACTGGGGATGACAATTTATTGTCTGGGGCGAACAATATCGATGCTGCAGTGTTTCATACTATCTTGGGTTTTACATATACCGGCGCCAACAGATACCTTTTACAATTTGTAACGGTTGGTGACTTCGAAATAAAAAAAATGATTTTGAAAATTTAAGTTCAAAGTATTGACGAGTCGAAGAATGCTTTTAGATTAAACGAGGTGTGTCCAAACATCGAAATGCCATTTATAATTCAACGAAAAGGCTGGGCAGTAAATGAAAGCGGGATAACATGTAAAGAAATCGTTAAAGTGTGACTAAAAAAGCACAACAAAACTTTACATAAGAAACACATGATGCATAACGTTTCACGAATATATGAGTTTGTGGAATTTCTAGAATATAGATTGAATAAATCCCACACATACATTGCCATAATCTGTGTGGCTTTCATAGTTCTGGCTAGTAAATTGAAGATTTAACGCCCGCTTCCACTTTATTTAATAAGGTCAGTCCATGCGCAGGGGTCTTTGGTATGGGAGGTGATCGGAGTAAACCCACAGGGTTGTTAAGGCGATCCTCTCTCTATGTCACTTACGTTCACAAAAGGCATTGAACCCGCGACCGCAAGTCATAGGTGTCTTGTGAGCTAGAACTCGAAGCGCGACACTTTTGACCCCTTTGGACGATGTCCATCGGACAGGTTTCAATATAAGGCGTTATAGTCTTATATCGGGTGTGCTCGATATACCACGGCTTGAACGTTGCTCCCAAAAGAGCGTTATAGTGTATTTTGTTTATCATTGCAGTGTATATTTGATGGCGTTGCTAAGGTGATGTGTTTGGGAGATATGATCAGTGAAGTACAAAGAGAATATTCTCATAAAAAATTATGGACATCTTACGTCACAACAGAGCCTGACGAAGAAGATTCCGAAATGGCGTGTGCCCGCGTGAGACTTTTAGAGAATGGAATTGACTCCAGATCTACTATTAATGACATCGGACTGGATGACAGTAGTTGTGAACCGTCGCCCAGACGGAGAACACCGTGTCGTGTGCCCGCCAACCCGTTAAGTACAGAAGTGTCGGCTATCAGAGAAATCATTAGCAGGTTTGAAGAAAAGAAAGCAAACGAGGACATTAGAAAACGTAACACAGAAGAGTGGCGAATTATCGCTTGTGTTGTAGATAGAATATTTTTTACATTTTACGTACTGATAAATCTTTTAGGAATTGCCGCCATTATGTTGAAAGCCAAGATGGCCTAGCGTTACTCCTAGACTCACTACCTGTCTCATTCGTGTCTTTCAACTGCTTTTTTCTATTGATAAATACCACGTGTGTATCTCTATTACGCCTACATGTATATACATCTATATATATATATATATAAATATATACACCGAAAATGGTTATGTTTATTTAATTTGTCCATTAATTTGTTTAATATAGTAATCGATTTTATCACGCCCACATGAAACTTTCTTTGGTGTCCAGGCACATTTATTAGCGTCACTATAAATGCAGACCATGCATCAAGAGTTTAGTACTCCAATCTGTATCCAGTAATCAATAATTTTTCCGTTACTTTTAGATGAAGCTAGATTTTATGAAATTTCTTTCTATTTTTGGCCGGATTGTTCACTCTTCAGACCTATATTAATAATAGGATATTCTGAATAAAAAGGGAATATCTCATTACATTTGATTTCCTACTTTTCTGCACTAACCAGACAATGTGCTACGATCTGGTCTTATTTTGAATTTCAACTGTTAAGGGTTCTGTTGCGTGCACGCCAAGGTGTACGCGGGACCTCGGTTATTCAACCCATATAAACAACTAGACTCTGTTCCGGGCACTCCAACTTGCATCAGTCCTGCATCACTGACAGAGGGAAACCATGTTGGGAATCCGAAGACCTCTCTCGGGATCGAACCCTGTACATCCTGGTTGGCTACTCTGTGCCCTACTCATTGAACCACCGAGGTTCCATTACTTGAACAGTAAAATGAATAAGATTTATGTTACAATGAAAAACTTGTTTTCGCTTTTTTGACTCTCTTTATCAATTTAACCACTGAAACACTGAAGAGTTATCTGCACTTTATAATAAATCTGCTGCGATTTTCATGACGCCCTTTAACTCCATTAAAGATACATTAGTTAAGATTTTAATAAAAAGTTGGTCATTCTTGATATAACAGTTCAACAATAGATGATAAAAAAAGAAAATATTGAAAATTGCAATCACATTACTTCATTCTGAACAAAGTTGTCACTGTTGGAAGTTTGGACTAGAAATAGGTATCAGCTGTCCCCGCACCGTCTCTGAGAATTGTTGATCGTTTGATTGACAGACGATCCGCCCACATATTCTCGATTATGAAGTAAAATTCTCAATGTCTAAGGTACCCTCGATTATCATTCCTTTCATCGGCAGTCTGCGAGAGTGACGTCAGTGATTAACGGAAAATGTTAGCTTTGTCAGCCATTTAATGATTTAATTATTAAGTGGACGACTGTTTAAATCCAAACTGTATCCAAGCCATCCGTCGGTCAACAGAGTTGATTTTCGAATTGTTAAGTAAATAAAGGTCTAATTTATTAGTTCTATAACATTTAACTTGCAATGGGCATATGTAGCTCTTAACTAATGTATCTTTAAAAGATTAAAAGATCCACGAAACCCCATTTTCATGATTTGTTTGACACTGTTAAGTATTATGATTATCGAGTTGAAAAATGCATTGAAACCACGTAGTGTTTTTCTAATTTTAAGAGGGGGCGCAAAAACTACAAAACGCACCATTGCACCCCCTTCGCATAGCCCCAGTTTCCGGTTATGACATGTCAGTGTTTTACATCATCAGTGTTTTACATCATCAGTGTATGCCGAGGTTCATCAGGCCGAATCACTCCAAGTATCCAAGATCGCAGCAGACACCAAGCGATCCTGGCTATATACAGAATAATTATTTAACATAAATGTATAGCAGCACGTGTTATATTAATTCATTTTATTGTATATTTTGTTTTTAATTATTGCATGTAATATTATTGATATGGAGTTGTTTTTTTTATGATGCGCTGAATAAACATGTACAAATATCCACTACACCATCTTCCTGTTTACAACCTTTATCTAGACATGGTGGCCGAGAACGATCTAACACGTGGGCTTATCATCATAGGTCTGCCATTTAGTCACGTGGGGTGGTTTCGAGCCCACGCTTATACAGAAATCCTGTTATAAAACATAAAAAGTTCCGACAGCAGATTTACATGGAAAACAATTCCGTGAAAAAACAGATTTTGATTTACAGGATTTTTTCCGTGTAAATCTGCTGCCGGATTTTTTTATGTTTATATACGGATTTATTTTTTACAGTGTAACGTCTTCTATTTTTTTTTTATTCAGACCAGATCATACCAGCCTATATTGTATTCACTTTGACAACAACCACGGCAATCGATGTAGTTGGAGCAGAGACAATATGACCTGGAATTATCAAGTTAGAACGCTAATGACATCTCTGTGACGATATGCATGAATCAAATGCTAAATAAATCAGGACGAAATGGTACACACAGGGCCGTAACTAGCTCAGAGCAACGAGGGGGGCGGGAAGTGTTCTCGGGGGTGCTGTAATATTGACGGATAATGTATATCTATTTTTTTATGATTTAAAATTTTTTCACAGGGGCGGGGGTGGGGGCGAAATTTTTTGCAGTTGGCCAAAGCCCCCCCCCCCCCCACGCCCCCTGCGCCCAATCTAGTTACGGGCCTGGGTACACATCAGCATTTTGTCTGCCTCCATCTTCGCGGCACTGTTAAAGTTATATTAGATGCTATTATCCCCACAGCGCCTAGATTTCATTTTCGCCCTTAATGCTCCACCCTTCCTTACTCTGCCCAAAGCCTCTCAAGCAGGTAAAATTTGTTTTTCCAATGTTTAATTCGAAGAATTTGCAGCGAAATTTTTTGTTTGTTTTTCAACTGTCAGTGTCAAGTAAAGTGCAACATAATCCTGGCCGTCAGCTGCTATAGAAGCCATTGAAATATTTGCGCATATCTGACTAAGAGATCATTGTGCCCTTGATGACCGATCTGTATAATGCATATATTTTGTCACTGAGAGGTAATATCTTCGAAATTGTGTATCTCCACCAAACAGTCCAGATGTTTTCAGTGTGACTAAAAGGTGACCAACTGACATCCGGTGTACAACTGGATACTTGTTCGGACGCGAAAGTTGTAAAAAGTGTCGATATAATTTTGTGAAGTGAAAGCAATAAATGATTTTGAAAGATATAGATTTGAGGCCAAGATAATTTTATTTCATTAATACCCTTATCCCTAAATTTGGCTTTGGCGATCTCAACTACTAGATCTATTAGTAAACTAAAACAATTAATAAGGGCGCAGTAGTCAAAACAACCCAACCCACTACGAAACATGTGTGAAGACTTCCAACTTACATCTAGTGTTCAAGCTATCCAACAATGTTACGTTTTAATTTTACCACTGGATGCAGCGTTATAATACACACATAGGACAAACATATTAACTGTATGAACTTATCGGTGTTCTAAACATACATAATACGCATAACCTGTATTGTGCACCACAACGTTCACTTGATAGTATCGGGAGATCAGAAGCCAAAGCCAGTAAATAGAGAATATCTCTGCGACCACTAGCAGTTACCAGCCTAGTAGCTCCAACTGGGTTAACGAAGACGAAAAAACGCCATACAGTGTACTATGAGGGAAATTTTGCCCGGACAAAGACCCTATGACCTACTCTTACATCAAATTCCAACTGCCAAGGGATCTTTTACGTGCACGCCGATGTGTACACGGGACCTTGGTTTTTCGCCACACCCTAACGAATATACGTTGTCCCTTGCCCGGCCATCTCTCCTGCACCACTGACAAGGTTGAACCACGCTGGAAAATCCCGATTGACTTTCTCGGCCAACGCAGAGATCGAACACGGGACCTCCTGGTTAGCGCGCCAACGTCTTACTCTCTACGCCATCGTGGCTCCCGCAGTTGATAAGTGAACGATATAATTTTCAAAATATGGGGTTACACCATTGCAGTCTGTACGCTATACTTGGTTCCTTGTTTTACTTTATGTGGGATGTTAGTTTTGTTTTAAATACAGTTAATGATAGAGTGGAAATAGATAAATAATCTGATATTAATATTTTATATAATGATACCATATAACGTGTACCACTTGGATGCCTGTTTATCTGCCAAATCAGTTTTTGTAAAGAGTTTATCACTTCATCAGACATTTTTCAACCATGCTATTTGCCTTTCGTGTTCCTTTCGACGCATGCTTATCCACCATATCATTTCGACGCATGCTTATCCGCCATATCATTTCGACGCATGCTTATCCACCATTTCATTTCGACACATGCTTATCTGCCATATCTTTTCGACGCTCGCTTATCTACAATATCATTTCGGCGCATGCTTATCCACCATACAATTTCTGTATAAAGAGTTTATCCCCTTGTCAGACATTTCTCAACCATGCTATTTTTTTTCTAAAAATGAAGGTAATTTCCCCAAACAAATAAATGGGTGAAAAATAAAAACACCATTATATTTTATTCTTTATTTTCAAATAAAAATGGCAATATTTCAATGTTTTAAAGTCAACAACAATATTATATATTTAAAAACGATATCAACAAACAATTAGAAACTTGTTTGTTTGAAATAAGCGTGTACTCTTTGAGCATGTTCAATAGGTAGACTCGGGAGTCCGCGGTAATCGTTTACCTTTCGTTTGAACTCAGGGTTTCATTGTAAAAGTGATTTCCCTGGTGATATGACGCATCCTCTTTGAACCTGTCGGGGTCAATAATGACGTCATTCCTATGATAACCAAGAGCATTATTCACTCTTTTAAGTGTCGAGCTACTTTCTGATTTAGATACGCTACATTTTCAAAATGAAGAATGTATGCTATATGTGCAATAATTAAGAAAGGAGACGCAATCAATGAACCAGAAACCGAGCATGACGTCATTGCAGCCATCTGTGGTGTCATATAAAACAAATCGATGCGTAATTGTCAAAGGGACAAACCAAACATGCCATGTCGACCATACTTAACCTGATCGAGCTTTAGGCCTTTTGCGAAGATGACCATCTATGTTAAATAGTACAAGTACTATGTGAACCAGGAACCGAGCATGACGTCATTGCAGTCACCTTGGAATGCAGTGTCATATAAAAAAAATCGATGCGCATTAATTTGTCCAAGAAACAAAGCAAACATGCCGTGTCGATCGTACTTAAACTGATCGAGCCGTAGGCCTTTTGGGAAGAGCATCGCCCCAAGAACGAGATGAGTAGCGCCCGGGAACCAGTTCCTGGACCACAAATAAAAATCATGAATTATAGTGGTGTCACACAATTTTATAATATCTAGTTTATTATAGCAAATTCTGTGTGAGCATAATTTAATAACAGATGAGGAAAATACGCGTTAATATCTCTGAACTTTAATGATGAATAATAATTTCCATATTACCGAATGCAACATGGCTACAACAATTTCATCTCTTAGATTCCGTTATAGAAATAAGTCTATCTGTTTCTGAATCAAGAGAGCACCTGCATTGTTTAAATGTAATTATTCTCATTCCCAAGGAATGTCCGTGCATATTTTATATCAATGAAGCCAACATGTCTCATACGTTTACAAATATTGCTACAAAAATCACATTTCATAGGCCTATTTAAAATAATTCGTGATTGATCTGTGAAGATACGATGCTATCGCTGAATCTGTGAAATACTATATAAGTGGTGGACAATCATGTAAAAATATGAAACTATCACTGAATAAAGTTTAATTCTACGATTTGGGTTGGTGTCATTGTTTTTTTTTTACTAAACCTGGTGCCATACAAAATCAAGATCATCTCTGGTGCTGCCAATCTGTACAAGGCATATTGTTTAGTTCAAACAGAAACGCACGAAACGCACCAAGCGTGTGTAATGTGACAGTGATAACAAAATCAGCCTTGGCTCCGAGCTGAATACATGGGCACTTACATAATATTATGGTGAAAAAAGTATGTTTTTGATGGTGATCATATTCTGTCTTATTGTGTATAGTTTGTACTCTCACATTGTCTTGTATTTTAAAATTTCACTGTAAATAAAACAATGAGTCCCACAACATTTACCATGAGGTATATAATAAAGAACAGACGATCAATGATACAAGCGAGAACCCGCCATTCCAACACATATTGGTCTCTTTCTTCTTTTTTAACACGACGCTCTTCGTCACGCTGTAAAATATCGCGAATTTCCCGCACTTCGTCAAAGATGCCGCAATTTTTACTAAAGTAATTGAAGCGACCATTGTCCATTTGTACGTTGTTGTCTTTCCCGCTTTCGGATGATTCCAAAGAACTTTTTGAATCGAGTCCATTATCTAATAGTCTCACTTTTGCAAACTTGATTTCCGGATCGTTAAAGCGGCCATTTTGTTCTGTGACGACACAGCTACTCCAGTTTTTCTTGGAGGGTAATTCGGTGTTTATATCCACGATCTTATCTTTAAGACACAAAATTCTGGCAACAAAATTCACCATACACTACAATTAGAATATAAAAAATCATTTAAAATAAAAAAAAGAGAGAGAGAGAGAGAAAAATTAAATTAATGAAAATGGTTACCCCTAGCTCACAGATATAGATAAAGGACTAACTAACCGTTCTTGCTATAAAAGTTAAAAAATAGATAATGATTGAAAATAGCAATCATGCGGTTTCTTTTTAAAATGAGAGAGCAAGAGAGCGAGAAATGGGGTTTAACGTTCACTCGACAAAAACTAGGTAATTTCGGGACTAACATATGGTTTAATTTCATTTCAATGATTCGCTTGCGCGTAGGGGTCTTTAGCAGTGGGAGGAAACCGGAGGACCCGGAGAAAACCCCCGAGGTTGGACAGGCGACCCTACTCCTTGTCACGTACAGCCAGGGATTAGAAACCACGCCAGCTGACTCAATAACAGGCCTTATGATACAGCACGCACGTGCTAACCATTCGGCCATCCAAACCCCTTTTTAAAATGAAGCTAAAAAGGGAATGAAAACGATTTTCCGAATTTAATATTATTTCTACGAAGTCAGACAATGTGAAATACATATATGCTAATGTAAACCTCAAATTGGTCCAGTTGAATAATGATTGGTTATTATTAGGTCTTTAGTTATTTTAGCGTGTTGTCACTTCAAGAAATCTTAGCTTATTACCCCTTTAAGAAATATTAGCTTGTTATCCCTTTAAGAAATCTTAGCGTGCTGACCCTTTAAGAATTCTTAGCTTGTCATTCTTTCAAGAAATCGAAGCATGTTGTGTCTTTCAGAAATGTAACTCAAAATATTTCAAATATTTCTAATGTTTTTGTTATTCAATTCTAAGCTTGTTATACCTTCAAGATATCTTAGCGCGTTGTCCCTTTCAGAAATCGAAGCTTGTTGTCCATTTCAGAAATCTAACTCAAAATATTTCAAATATGTTTAATGTTTTGGTTATTCAATTCTTAAATTAAATGATCGATATCTTTTTATAAGAGAAGTCCCCAAAACAATTAAATCCAGACAGGTGATGACATTTAGTTTTGATTAAATCAACAATACAATAAATAATGACCTGTATATTAGAGACAGACTGGGATACAACACATACTTTGTGACAATTTTATGAGGTTTATTTAAAATTTTTAGACAGGTCATTGACTTCCATTATTAAGCCCCTGAGTAATAGTCTGGAGGCTCAGCGCGGGGGGGGGGGGGTGTCCATCAAATGGGCACAAAACCAGACCCAACTTTTCTAGAGTAAAATTTTGCGTAGAATACGATGCCGAGTATCAAATCAAGTGAATGGATCCGGGGGTCAGACGTTAAGGTCCACTGCGCTTTACAGTCCCGGCCTGTAAGGATACAAGCTTCACTCACAATGAAAAAAAAGTGACGATTTTCAAGAAAGACGTAGCAGTAATAATACGACTGATTTTGACTTAGGTCATCTCTTGTGCTTGCTTTGGTGTTTATTTTAGGACAGAAATAATACGACCGATTTTGACTTTGGTCGTCTATTGCAGTTGTTGACTTGCCATAAATTTCTTTACTGTGGTGTATCCTAAAAATAGTTGCTTTGGTGTTTATTTTAGGGCAGTTTTGCTCGATTATTTGGCTTTTTTTCCTAAAATGCAACTCTTGGTGGGAAGCAAATTTACACACACAATTTGATAAAGAATAATCCAAGGTGTTCGGGCTAAAGAAGCTTTAAAGAAAAATTTGAAACGTTGAACTTACATATCGGAACCATCTTGGTGCTCTGTTAATTCTAACACCTCGGAAATACATATTTGCTACAATACACGCCAGTACAGTTGACATTGTTATCATCACCATACTTAAACAAAAATACGCACCTGTAATGGAATTGGTAAATAATTTAAGCTTGAAAGACAGAAGTTAAGGAGTTATGTCCCTTGGATTATAGAAGTTGGTTTAACAGTTCATATCCATAGATTATTGAGGAACTGGAGGGGGGGGGGGGTACCCGACCGAGAATTTGATAACATCAGAAGCTCTGAGGCAATATGGCTGTTCTTTAAGGTACATACATGTACATGATTAAAGTAGAAAAGGGCCAAAAGGGCAGCAATGCTTCGCACATTTGATTTTTGACGTCATTTCGCCCTGCACATTCGTCAATAATCAGAAAGAAGTAATCAAAAATTTAACCTATTCTTCATTTTCTTTGATTGGCATTTAGTAATTGAACATATTAACACAAGGTATATTACTGAGTTTAATACTAAGCGACGTTTCAACGAGAGTATCCTCGTCGACGCGTCGCTTAGTATTAAACTCAGTAATTGTGTATCAATAAAATTGCACCTTGTGTTATTCTTCATTTGACGTTAAAACTCATGTGGCTTAATAATTAAGTCGAAAGTGGGCCTAGCGTTGCCATTTTAATTAATCATATGTTACTAGGTAACGCCACCGGTCATGAATTCGTAGTCTTGCAAAAGTATATAACACAAAATGGCAGCAGTATTAACATTTCTAGATTACCAAAAACGTTTCCCTTGAAGTATTTCAAGAGATACAACGTTTTCGATAACAAAAAATATATATTCCATGCTTGTGTATTCTATGTATGTAGAATTGTGACTGTCAAGGTAATAAATCTTTAATAATCCACGTTTGTATTTGTGTGGTGAAGCATCAAGGCCAATAATACTCAATATAAAATATATTGTTGTAAATCATGTTAAAGTTGTCTCGAAATAAGATGAATAATGGGCTTTAACACTCTCCATTCAATTCTATATAAATAAATAAATAAATAACAGGCTTAATCTTACCAATAAGAGGTATAGAGGCGGCTGCTCGAGGTGTGAAATCAGCTAACACCAACAATAAGAAGAAAAAAGCAACAAAAACACTCATACCTATAAAAAAGAGACAATCTCAAACAACGTTTACAAGTGGCTAATGCTGTCGCGGTGACCGTACACTATACCAAATAAGGTCATTCATTAGGCTAAACTCAAAATCATGAATTATACTTAAATATATCAAACTCTTGATAAAGTAAATATAACAAACCCTAGCTCTAGCTCGAGGATAGAGGGGTAAGTTCTTGAAGAAACTTCCGTCCCTAGTTAGAAACACACTAATAGAGCCTCCTCTTATTTCTTCTTTTAGTCAAAAACAAAACCACCAGGGTCACCACAACCACCAAAACAGCGACCATTGCCACTTCGACTTTTTTGTGTGTAAATTTATTACTTTATTATGTCTTTCTTAAAGAAATTAGGAAACTCCACGAATCATGATCATCCTAGGGGAAGCCGCGATGGCTCAGTGACTAAGACGCTGGTTTCCCTTTGTCAGCCAGACAAGGGCCAGACAAGGAACAATGTCTAGTTGTTCGGATGGGATGAAACTCCGAGGTCCCGTATACACAATGGCGTGCACATAAAAGAACTTTTTACAGTTGTAATTCGAAATACGGGTAGGCCGTATCGCCGTTGTTCATGCAATATTTCCCCCATAGCACAATGCATGGCATATGCCATTGGTAATGAGCAGAACAGATATCATTTCATTCATTCTGTAAGTAACCATGACAACAATTCTACATCTGTACTATGTCATAATTTTCAACAAAGTAAACCGAAACTCATAACAATTCAATATGTATTACAGAGCAAATACTGTGCGCTTGAAACTAATTAAGAGAATATTTCCCGACTCTAATTGGCTTACATAACGTCTACAGTTGCTTAATGAGTCATACCTGTGGAATTTGAATGACGAAATGATTTGCATTTAGTTTTGTTATATTGTGGACAGAAATTCGAAAGTCAATATTTGAAATAACCGACTTAAAGAAGACAAGTCTCTAACTCAGAAATGAAATGAAATGAAATGGGGGTTAACGTCCTACTGTTTTGCTCCTAAAATGGGCTAATGAAGACGGGCATACCCCATACAGTGTGCTATGAGGGAAATTTTGCCCGGGCAACGGCGCTACGGCCTAATCTTATATCGAATTCCAACTGCCTAGGGATCTTTTACATGCACGCCAATTTGTACACGGGACCTCGGTTTTTCGTCCCATCTGAACGACTAGACATCTGTCCTTGTCAGGCCCTCCGTCCTGCATCACTGACAAGGGGAAACCACGCCAGAAAATCTGGATGAACTTTCTCGGGCAATGCAGGGATCAAACACCCGACCTCCAGGCTAGCGACCCAGCGTCTTACCCACTTAGCCACTCTAACTCAGTATCATCGACAGTCTTCGACATTGTAAACATGGCTTATTGGTCAATTCAAATCAACATTGATGTTGTGGTCTTATCTTGAAAAGATGGGCTTCTGATATCCAATATTTTCGACAAAAGGAAAAGTTTGAAAGTGGCACACGAATCGCCTACCAGAATGCTTTCGAGTGCCATTTTTAATGAAGCGACAAGATGAACGAGGCTAAACATATCCCAGAAGTCAATGCGTATGAGCAATGAATACTACCGGTGTAGACTGGAATAACCAGGCGCCAAAGACTGTCATTCAATGTAGACTCTTCGCGTATTTCGCCGAATATAAATGATTAGAAATTACAGTAAAAACAGAAACGTTTAAATGTAAATGAGTTTATATGCATTCAAATTACGTTACTATATGCATTACGACCCATTTGTGTCCATTTCTAGTTCCCAAAGAATAGAGATTTAGTCTTTTAAAGAATAATTTGTACAGAAATGAAAAAAATAATATACTTTTGCCTTTGAAGTATATTTCAATTATAGGTAATATTCTTTTGAAAGCCTTAATTATTTACGGAGTTGAACGACTTGGAATGTATTGTCTTGATTATCTTAATCGATTCTGTACGAGTCGTGTTGTGATATTAGAAACGTATAAATCTAATTATCAAGTCATAAGATTGAGCAGAAATAATGCACACAGTTTAAGACCGTATCAAATCAAATCTTTTTAGCGATTGGTTATGATAATCAAAACTATCTTTAAAAAGCCTTACGCTGCGATAAAAAAATAAGGCCATAGCGGGGTGTTTTACAGGACCTTTTGGCATTAGTATTTAAAGAAGAAAATGTACCATATCAACTTCCTTCACTGGAAAGGAGCCTTGGTGGTTCAATGAGTAAGACGCTAGCTAACTAGCCACGAAGACCGGGGTTCGATCTCGGTGTTGGCCGAGAAGGTTCCCCGGGATTTTCCAGCGTGGTTCCCATTGTCAGTGGTGCAGAACGGAAGGTTTGATAATGAGAGTGTTTAGATTGGACAAAATGCGGCTTAACGGCCTACTGTTCTGCACCGACGATAATCAAAACAGTCTTACTCACTGAGTCGGCGTGACTCTCAAATTGAAATCAAAGAAAATAGTCTGTTTGTGCTTACCTAATTGTAATTTAGCTGGAGATTCTGGAGGAACCCAAAATATCACTAGTGTCAACAAACTCAGTAGGGCACAAGGTAAGACCAAGATGAACGTATAGAAAGCCACCTTGCGTTTTAACGACAACGTAAATGTGAGGTCGGGATACGGTTCAGGACAGCAACTGTAATAAAGTACATTTCGCTGAGCAACGTTTTTCGTTACGTCCCATTCGTTGTTGTGGACAAAATCACTCATGTCCATCGATTCTTGTAACACAAAGTCTATGTTTAATTTGTTTCCGTTATAAGTCCATGATCCGAACTTCATCGTACATTTCTGCTGATCAAAGGGGAAATACAGCGTGTCAAATGAACAGGAACTTTTTAATATGGCCTGCGGCATCCACAAAATAGTACCATTATTGTCCACAACTACCAGAGCATCCCGCTGTTCCCTTAATCGATCATCGGCACTGAAAATAAGAGAAAAAAATGTTTATTGATGGAGTCGATGACCGTTTCTGATCTTTGGATATTTGTTAAGGCCAAGAAAAATTTACCTGTTTTACGGTTACTTGATCCAAAAAATTAGGGTCGGTTGATGGGAAGAACGTTTTTTATTATTGAGGTTTGGACTAGCTATTTCCTAGAGAAAATCACACCAAGACCGAGTTATAGAACCTGAGAAACGAGAGAAAAGAGTTTAGGGTCGGTGATTTTGGCTGAAAAAATAGGGTCGACCGGGTAACCGTAAGGCGTAAACACAGGCATTTTCATTTTAACTTACATATAATTGATTAAAATATTTAATCGCTGGCTACTTGATTTCCTAGTACATGTATCATGTTGATAATAGAAATAATTTTTTGGAGGCGATCATTGAATAATTGATCTATTGTGACGCGATCAGAATTTTCAAGTATGTACTTTTATATCAAAACAACTCCCAAAGAGATCGTTGGTAGTTTGCTCTAGATCATGGACTGAAGAATATGGCCAAAAAGATGACGTATATACACTTATAATTGATCATTGAATTTTTGTAAAGTGAGATTTTGTAAATTAAATTCATTCAAATTTGTATTTATTCATAGAAAACGAGAGGTTGTAAAAATACAGGCTAGACGCCATACATGGACTTCTATCTAATTTCTTAGCTTTTTTATATGAAATCAGTACGATAAAAATACAATGGTTCCCAAAAAATCTATGAAAAACAAGTTGAATGGACTCAATGTCATAATGGAAGTCAAAGATTGGTTTCAGCTTTTAGTACCGACAGGCGTAATGTAACAATCTTACTCATTTCAGAACTTATCTAATTTCGTTTATTGAGGATATCTATTCTCATTGATTAAGGATTTTCACATAGCCAACACAGGTTTCTTGTACTTTTGTATTGTATAACTCCTCAACTCAATTGAGATATGGTATCAGATGTTACTTAAAGAAAGAGTAAGTATACCCAATCGCTGCTATATAATTACAATGACAACACTAAAGTATAATGGATAAAAAATGTTTGGCTCTACTTTCATTTTAATTTGACAAGATCTGGCTGACTCTATGTATTTAAAACCATCGTTTCTATTTAGTCAGGTCTAAATATTAAGGCCACATGCAGGTGTAAATGGGGTAAGGGCACGTGATTGTAGACGAGATCGTGGGTTAGGGCTAGTGCCAGTCCTGTTTACATCTGTGACCTTGACGAAATCTGCAGGTGGCCTTAATATTTAGACCTAACCATAAAACATAGAGTACTTTACATTAATTGACAGGTGGATTGGTGAACTGTATTCTGGAATTGGTGTGATTAATTACATATTCTGCTCGAGAGTAAATGTCACTGGATTTGGTGTTCGAGTTATACAATTGATTTGTCATTCTCTTAAAATAGCCATACCACAGTCACACCACATGACTGGTCGGGTGAAATGTAGCGGAATAAACTAATTTAACGAATTGACTTTACATGGTACTTTGATACAAAGGAAATTTGTATTTAATCTCCAATTGCAACTGGTAAGCGATCAAGCGTAAGAAAAGTCTAATGATATGAACATTTTCCAATCCACAGCATGGTTTTAATCATGCGATAAAATAATAAAACGGGGAAAACAACTTTTATTTTACTTCAAATCTGGTGTTTCTGTGGCTTACTTGTATTTCTAATTGCCATATATATATTTTAATACATAATGTCATACAAATTATACATCAAAATAAAAGGACCTGGAAATCCCACAGGACAATCCCAGAAGAATTTTCGGAATGTGATTAAAATGATATAAAGAACCAAAAAGCAACTTACAAGTTATATAAAACTATATCCGGTAGCCATATTTTACTAGAAGGAACCCGTATGAAGAGAATATCATCGTGTTTTTTCGGATCCCATCGTAATAGTATATCGTTCCATTTCTGAAAAATATAAGAAATTGTGTTCAATTTCATTTTGAATACAGATTATTTGAAATAAAATAATATCAGATCACAGAGGTCCAGAACAATCTAAAGTACAAGAACCACTGTAGAAATCCTAAAGTCTATTAAGGAATAAGGGTGCACAACGTCCTAAAGTAGAAGTGCATAAAGACTTATAAGTACAAGATCCATTGTGGAAACCCCTAAATGTATTATGGAATAATGGCCCTGAACAACCTAATGTACAAGAAGCATTGTAGAAACTATAGTATATTCAGGAATAGAGGTACAGATAGATCTAAAGTTCCAGACTCCTGGTAGAAAACTCTATAGCGTATTCGGGAGTAGACCCAAAGTACAAGACACAATGTAGAAACCCCATTAAGTATGTGGGCATAGTAAGGTATAAGTACAAGACCCATTGCAGAAGCCGCTGAAATTCCACAACTTGTACTTAATGATACACCCAATTCATAACTTATCTAAACTTGTTGTAGTTCAGAAAAAGTTATATAATTCTTGAGCTTGATTCAGTAAGTATAAAAATGAAAAACTGTGTTAACCTATCTTTGATATTTATTTTCATTAATTAGTGTAAAGGTTTCGGTAAAAACAAAGCCAGACGTTATTCGCGCCATTTGATTTGTGACGTTAAACTGTCTACAGGTATAATCTTTTCAACGTTGTTTCTATTTATTTCAGTTTTTCCATTGCCAGATTTACCACTGAACAAATGGTTCACGAAAAGGGTCTCCATAATAAATGACAAATAAACCTATAATACATATATAACATGAATATTATTAATACTATTAGTATTATGATAGATTATAGTGGCACCATAAACGTTTAAGTGCTTAGGGCTCCTGAAGAAGGTAATTCCGGCCATGGTCATCTTCTAATGAAAACAGTGGATTGCCGAAGCAATGTCCGTAAGTAGTGACTTCTGGACTGTTTTGACATTCATTTGTTATAACTGACCACATAAATAAATATTATTGGTAGCAGAATTACAAATACCAATTAAATGGTATCAGAACAATACACCAACAGTGTTTAATTAACAAAATACATATTTACATTGTTTCCATCCATGACAAACATTGTTTTCTTAGTAAATAAAAGCTATGTTTTACTGGGCACTATATGGGACGATATAGTCACTAATTGACCGCGTGTGGCTGTTGATTTACTAAACCACTTGATATAAAACAATACAAACTATAATTACCATAGTGTAGGTAATAGCTATTGTTTTTATTGTGAATATTTAAAAACTATAGTGTCATAGTGATAAAGTAACATCAATAACTCTCCACAACCAGTCCTGAAAGCCAGACAAAAGAGACCGGTATCTAAATATTTGTGTACTTAAATCCGCGTTTCGTGCACAGAAAACAGGGACTAGGTGAAACAACAATGGTAAGTATAATAAATATGAGGGACAATGGTATATTTCTATCAGGTATATAGACGTATATTGGTTTAAACTCAGTAACTTATCGATTAGTTAATATATCGATTATGGTCATGTCATCATAATGTACACGATTCAATACAATGGATGATACAGTGAATTATTGTGTCTTTTGTCAACTGTTTATCTTTTATGTCTATTCTAATCGCTTCGCTTGCAGCATTACATAATAATTAAAGGGCATCAGGATGAATAAACAGACACCCACACTATGATGATATCTAACAGAACCAGGTCTATATCACAGATGCATTATGCAAGATTTAGATAAAGAAATGACAGTTATCGCTACAGTATTTTAAAAAAAAAGGATAAAGGAAAATCAATACAGTCAAATTACTTTATTCTGATCGAAATTATGAATGTTTAAAGTTTTGATAACAATAGTGTAGTGCCGATTTTTGTTACTACCATTGTTACGATGATAAACAAGGTTTCACTTATCCATTTTAAATTTCAGTTTAAATTATTAGATGGTGATCATGTTTCAATCCATAGAAAATCACGACCATTGACTATGGGCTTGTCATGTGAATAAATGTCTAAATTAAATAACAATTTATATAACATCTGAAACTAGAAAAGGGATCTGCAATAGGCAAATGTAGCTCTTACATAATTCATCTTTAACCGAAGGCAACAGAAAGATAACATGTTCTGTTTGATCATTTTTAAAATGAAATAACATATGGCTTATCTTTATGAAATAAAACGTCCCTTCCACTGAATACAAAACTTTACTTGCGCAGTGGAAGGAAACCGGATGACTCGGAGAAAACCAATGAGGTTTGGCAGGTAATACTCTACTCCTTCCCACGTCTCAATGACCTATAATGTACATGAGTATAAGAACGTTGCCACATTTCTAAATCACTCTTTTTAGCTACCACTCAACACCAGACTTGGTTTGTGCAGTGTGATTAAACAGAATGACCCAACAGAGACCCACGACCTATGAGGTACAGGCGTTAGAACTTTTGCCCCACCACCACCTTCCAAACCACCTTTTTTTTTTTTTTAAGAACTTCCCAAATATTTAGATATCCTCTTGCCGGAAGGTACTAGCATGATATCCAGGGACACTAATCATTGGTGTTGTTCAAGGAGCAGTTTATGCTTTCTGATTTCTATAACACATTATACCGTTTTTCATTTTTTTTATCTGTACACATACATCCATGCATTTCTGTTCGATCTTTATTTGCATTTCCAAACACCAACTTCCTCTCTTTCTAGATCGTCAGACACTGGAATTGCTTTGACCTTTCACCTAAACACGTAAGCTACTATGGTATATTTCCCTGATCCCGACCTCTGGTAAACATTAATCTTGTTTGTCAACATGCTTCCGGTACAGACAATGCATCACGTGGATGTTAGAAGGCGACATGTTTGATTGTATAAACAAAAATACATACCACTTTTGACCAGCATCATTTATCATATGTGATGAAACTGTCATGGCGGATTAAATCAACCGGAATAAGATGCCATCCCATCTCGAAATAAGGAAACGCTATTGCTAGGCAAAGATAAATTTTATCAAAGAGTCTCGGTTTTGCCACACGACGATAGATGGTGGATGAACAGTATGTCAATTATTTATATTTAACTTAAAGAAAATAATTTTCTTATCGCTATGTCAAATAATACGAAGGAAGTGACGTCAATGGTAGTACCTAGACCACATAAGTAGTATAATGTCAGAATATTTTGCAGTCATTAAGTAAGCTTTAAACAATGCTAATTTTAAATCATGCTCAGTAACTTAGAAATTAAAACAGTTTAAAGGGGAATACCCAGATTACTTATCCGCCAACAATAAAGTTCGTTTAAGTATGCAACGAAAACTCCAAAATGTGACGAATAGGCCTACTGCCTTGTCTGAAAGTTTCAGCTCAATATATTGAGCTATTTGGACGTGATCGCCAAATTGTGAGACTTGCCAAGTAGTAATTAAATCGCACCAGTAACCTGCAAAATGATATTACTGGCTGGAAAACAACAAAAAACAGTATTTCGGGAAGTTGTAGACAGGTACAACTGGACGTTTGTACTCTTTTGAAACCCCAGACGGTCCTACTAACCACCGAAAAAATCGACAAAAGCGTATTTTGGTCAATAGCGTCCAAAGTATTGCGAATAGTGACCAATAAGGAAAAATATGTTATTGATATGCATATTACTGAACCGAATCTAATTAGGTTTTTGGTTTTTAAGAGCACATGTAAAAACTATTCTTAAATGTATTAATAATTTGGTTATAAACTATTATGGCATTGTAAATGTCAAATTTAGGAATTGATAAATAAAATCGATTTTTTAAATTCACATTATGTTTTATACTGAATAATTAAAACGGCTGACATAAAGACGTAGAGCCAGACGTACACACATATTGCTTAGTAACGCCACCAACAAGAGTGGGTGGATATTAACATCACCAGGATTTTATGTACAATGTAAATATAAATTAAGGGCTGTAATTATCTTGAAAGGTAATTAATCTTTTCTAACCGCAACCTACATTTAGATTAATCTCCAAGGTGGTTGAATATATGTACATTCTAATTCATCCTGGAGGCCGATGGCCGAATGGTTAGCGCGTGTGCGTTGAATCATAAGGTCTGTCATTGAGTCAACTGGCGTAGTTTCGATTCCCCGGTTGTACATGACAAGGAGTAGGGTCGACCAATCTCGTAGGTTTTCTCCGGGTACTCCGGTTTCCTCCTACTGCTAAAGCACCCTACGCGTAGGCGAATTATTGAAATGAGAGTGAACCATATGTAAGTCCCGAAATGACCTAGTTTGTGTCGAGTTGGCGTTAAACTCCTCCCTCTCTCTCTCTCTCTCTCTCTCTCTCTCTCTCTCTCTCTCTCCGTGGTCAGATGTTAGTAGTAAAGCATGTAAACCACCGGGAGGGAAAAGCAACAGTGGCCAGATGTTAGTAATAAGACATGTAAACCACGGGGAGGGGAATGCTACAGTGGTCAAATGTTAGTAATAAGACATGTAAACCACGGAGAGGGGAATGCTACAGTGGTCAGATGTTAGTAATAAGACATGTAAACCACGGGGATGGGAATGCTACAGTGATCAAATGTTAGTAATAAGACATGTAAACCAAGGGGAGGGAATGGAACAGTAGTCAGATGTTAGTAGTAAGACATGTAAACCACAGCGGTCAGAATGTTAGTAGTTAGACATGTAGGCGAAATAAGATATGTAAACTTAAATAAAGCTAATTCACACACTGGCCAGTTTGGTAGTCTGTAGCAACGTTAAACCGTTATAGTTTGTGATGTTACCAAACAAACGTTATAACCGGACTTTACTTTATCTGTAGCACTGATGATGACCTTAACCAATAAACGACAGCACTTGTTAAAAATCACACAACAACGAAATGCTCCAAAGTCGAGTGTTCAGATACGGCGTGACATCAACCACTTGATCGAGAACAAACGGCTATTAAAACCCCCCAGAAAAAATGATAATAATAATAAAAAGAAAACAATTT